AGCGATGGGTAGTAGCACACTCGATGAACTCCTAGGCCACCGCTAGTTGGTTTGGACAACGAGTGATAACCCGCCGTACCGCCCCCTTCTGTTCACACGCCCCAACTGCCAATACGAGCACTCCCTAGGCTTGGTTTGACAGGGTGTGCTCACCAAAAATTCCAATTGCCAGAACGAAGCCGAAAGGGACAAACAGAGAACCCTCGAGGACCATGGAGGCTGTCCAGATGCAAAATCGAGAGGGGAGGAAAGTGGGGGCATCAAGGATGGAATGTCGTAAGGACAAGCAGGGAGCCGGAGGGAAGACTGAGAAGACGAAAGAAAGGAAGAAAAGAAAAAAAAAAGAAAGAAAAAAGTGCACAGATTCAGAGCAGAGGCAGCGTGCGCATGACCCAACCGGCATAGCTCACACTAGGGACTTCCTCAAGTGAATTTAGACACTTAAAGTACAGAACATACACCCGTCGAGGAAAGTCCTATTCATTAATATGCCTCCATACAGTTTTAACAGGGCTGATAATTTTCATTTTGTGTGGGATGCAACGAGTGTGTGTGCACCAGAGCTGAAGACAAAACCCAGCTGAACCATCTTTGACGAAGTAGAGTTACGCTTGGCAGCTCACGGTACAGATGCACCCGCATGTCAGCGATAACACCCATAAACACATATCACTCAAGAGGTTGGGAAGGTTCATCCTGTGGAGCTGTGCATAATGTCATCGCATCGCCCCCATTTCTATAAGAACGCCGGATAGCAGCCACAACGGGACTGATGGAACGAGAGACTGGCAAACCGAAGCCCACATAAAGAACATGGACAATAGAATCCCCCTCCACCAGCATCAGCCCCCATAGCAACAACAGTGCCGCCCCGAAAGTAGTAAAACCACGACCCTGTCAAACACTCAGAAACTTGGGTCCACCAGCTACAGGGTACAACTACACTCTTCGGAGTTCAGCAGGGTGAACTCCCCAACTAGGGGAGTTGTGTGAATTGCCACGAAGGAACCCCTACCCTAGGAACACATACTGATGAGTGGGGAGATAAGCACTACGAAGGATCGACACTGCGAGCAGTAAGCGAGATGTAAATGAAGCTTTCACCAGAACATGGGCAGATACACTGCCAATTCTCCCAGCTCTTCGAAGGTTCGGCGTCGGAGCTCAGCTTTCAGTTCGCCCCGTACCGCCAGCCCCAGGTAGGTACTCTCCCTCTCCACCTGCTGCTGCTAGTCGCCTTGTCCACACCACCGGCTTGATTCACTCGCCAGGGCAGATTGAGGCGTCACCACGAGGGCTGATGACGACGCCCCCTTCAAGAAGTCGCATGGTGGAATCGACCACCGCAACTGGGGGAGCTTGACCGTGAGGCATGGTACGACACGGGTCGTGCCCCGTGTGAATATGAGCAGCTAGGTAAGTGTGGTCATGCCCTCACTCGCCGTTACGCGTTCCTTTCCTTCACACTTTACCGAACTCCCCTCTCCTCGCTACTTTCCCGCCTCCTCTCCATAGCAATCGCGCAGCCCATTCTGTTGATACTGCCTAAACCGTCCATCCAACACCAATTCTACCTCTGCCATTGGCTTCGCCCTGCCCAAAAACCTCAGATTCGACTTTTGGTTCGCTCGATTCCGTTCAGGAACGAGCGAGCTACACCACTTTCACTTCTCTTCTCTCCCTTTCTCCTTTGAACGCACCTGGCGCAAAACCGCGTCCAGGTTCATTCCCCTTTTCTTCCCTTGCTGCCGTCTCGCTGCTTCCTCTCTCGTTGTGTTGCCTTCTGCTCCTTCTCTTCTCCTCTAGTCCTTCCTCTTCCTCCTCCTATACCACCTCTCCCTCACTAGCCTACGCTGCTTCCCTTCTCGTGCAGCGCTCTTCATAGCAAACGAAGAGAGCGCTCGCCCCCTCTACATATGCGAATTAGACTTGCGCAGGGGCCATGCTAGGCTTCTCTGCCCCGTTCTAATTCCAACGGATGTCCCGAAGGACTACAGCACCCCAGTGGAACCCCGGCAGTTCGTGGTGTACCCACGAAACTAGGCTGAGGGCTTCACTGCAAGCCTCGGTACCGGCACCGGCCTTGCCTCAGAAAAATAAAAAATAGGAAAAATAAAAAATGAAAACTTTCTAAGACCTTAAGGGTAAAAGAAAATAATGATAAATAACAAAAAGAGAAAACCGGGTGGGGGAGGAGGACCGTTGGTACTTGGTCCTACCTCACGGGCCCGCCACCGGACTCCCCCACAGCAAAACCAAGGGGGATAGTCCCGCGGGACCCTCAACCCCTCGGCCTTCTTCACGCTGCTACGCTGCTCCGCTTTGCTGCCCGCTGGCCTCGATCCCCATATCTCCGCTGTAACAGTCCGGCACTGTAACCTATAGGGCTAAGCCCAATCCTGCTATTGGCCAGCGCGGTATTCCATATGAACAGATGCGGCGCAGCCCCGAGGCCTGTGACGCAGCCCCAGCCCTCATTCCTACCTCCCATTAGGCACGCTACCGCTAGGCTCCCATGCCGGCTTGCCCTCTCTGCGCCGTGGCCACCTCGCACCCTACTTCGCACGTTAGACTACCAACGGTCACCTATCCCTACCAAGGGCACCTCTTACTCCTAGTAACCAAAGTCAGGCCGGCCAACTATGCCGGTTGCATAATCCAAAGTGGAAAAATCACCCACGCGCCCACACCCGCTCTACTCTAATCAAGCATCCTACCTACGTAACCAAACAGACTTAGGCGCGTCTCGCGTGGTACACTTTAGACCTTTACTCTTACTTCCGGTCACCTGCAAAAACTAGGGCGGATACCCTTGTCAGGGTATTCGCGCCGACAGCGCAGAGCGTTTTAAAGCTCATCAGCTACAACACAGCTGAGAAAGGCACTGGTGGTTTGCATGGTTCTCCGAGGAATGGCTGGGGAGCGAACAAGGGGCCAGGGGCTGGATAGCCAACATCCAATGGGAGGGCGGCTGCCAATTGGATCAATGTCAAGACGTGCTCCGGAGAGACTACCACAAGGACTGGACCAAGGTGGACGCCGCAATTTCGTTGCGCCC